TTGTTAAAGAGCCTGCGAGATTCAGCCGGTGTAATGCAGAATGCGTACCCAGTCGTGGCGGGTTCCGTCGAGGTGGGCCCGGCGGCGGCAATGCTAATATTGTTGTATAGTGAGTTTTTTTTTTAACTTTAAGGTACACTATTGCATTTTCTCTAAACTAAATCCAACAAGTCTCCGTGAAACCTAAATTCCACCCTTTTTAGTGCATTTCCACAAAAATAAAAAAAATGCGCTATTGTGGCCACTTTGTCCGTCCGTCCGCTCGTTTTGCGACGCTACTAGTTCTTTATCTTAAGAGCTATTGTTCTACTTTTTTCGCTATTTGGTTCGTTATGGTGTCGAGTCTTGTACCAAGGAAGGAATTTTTTCTGTACCGCTTACAAAAAAAGTTATTGTAAAAAAAAACAAAAAACCGTTTTTTACATGTTCCATAATTTTACACTTTTGCCGTTTATTAACGATCCTAGAGATCGCTTATAATTTTTCATTGCTATCTCTCGTCTGCCTGTTGGTCTGTGCGTCTGTTCCTTTGTCTGTCTGTCCATCTATCTGTCCGTGTGAACGATAACTTTGTTTAGAAATGTTCGATCGCTTTTACATCTCCGTTAGTTATTAACTGAATTGCATGAAATTCAATATGGGCATAGATTTAGCCATATAATACGCAATGCCAAAAGTTGAATCGAATCGATTCAAAATTCACAGTGCCCTTTTCGCATCTCGACCATTTATAAACCGAATTGCAAACTTTTTTACTTATAAAAGTATTTGAATGAAATTTGATACATAGGCACTTGAAATAAAGGAAAATCAAACGCCAATTTCAAAATTTGGTTTTGCGCATGCGCAGTGCCAACTTTTTTATTTATGGAAGAATTTAAACGAAATTTTATACATAGGCACTTGGGATAAAGGAAAATCAAACGCCAATTTCAAAATTTGGTTTTGCGCATGCGCAGTGCCAACTTTTTTATTTATGAAAGAATTTAAATGAAATGTGATACATAGGCACTTGGAATAAAGGAAAATCTAGCGCCAGTTTCAAAATTTTATTTTGCGCATGCGCAGTGCCAACTTTTTTTATCTATGGAAGCATTTAAGAGAAATTTGATACTTAGGCGCTTGGAACAAAGGAAAATCTAACATTAGTTTTAAAATGTAGGTTTGCGCATGCGCAGTTCCAACTTTCTTATTTAGAAAAGCATTGAAATGAAATTCTTCTCATAAACTGAAATTGAAGTAGCACGTCAACAATGGATTGCCCATGTGCAACGCTATCTTTCATATTTGTGGCCGGATTTTTGCGATTTTAACAGAAGTTGCATCTTACAATGGGAAATGAATGCAAGTGGAAATGCGCTTTATGTAAATCGTTTATGATTACTTTTTAACTTGTTAAATTTGTGTCAAATATTAATTAAGTCCTTATGTATAGGTACAGCTAGTTTTTTTGTTTGAAAATGCATGTAATATTTTGTTTATGTTATTTTAGAAGAAAATAATTGCGGTATCGTAATTTGAAGTAAAAAATATTTTCAGATTATTCACATTAAAAAATAAATTGGTGTTGACCATTTCCGATTTCGTAAACTTCCAAGTTCCTTCATTTTCCTCGACTTCAACCAAAGTTGCATTGCTGCATGATCCGTCCCCACTCCGTAGCGCTGATTTCCTTATCTCCATTCCATTTTTGAATTTGATAGATGCTCGATAAGCGTATGTTGTTCAGCAGCTCCAGATGTTGGAGCGAGGGTGGCCATGTTAAATTTGGATTTTAATGAAATTTTTGCAACAGCTTTAAGTTACATTGAATATCTACTGTCATTTAGACTTGCAGACCTTGTGCATCGATATAGTTTCAAGAAAAAAAGCCTCTCCTACCTCTTTGAGAATATTTGTGTCTGCCTGTTTTTCATAAAACTGTTAGGCTTTTGTGCGATCATTTGATGAACTTGGCAATTTGTTCTCGTTGATTTTGCCTTTGCCGAATAAAGAAGACGTGGTATCACATCCTGTGATAGCATAAAAAAATATCACATCCTTCATATCACCAATCTCTTCACGGGTCTTGCTGATGTCATAGGTTGATGGTGTACCAGAGGGTTTGTGAAAGAATAGTTGTACATTTTGGCACTGTGGTAGCCCTAAGAATTGAACGAAAAGATCTGTATCCTGTCTGACAACAACTGTAGGCCTCACACTTTGAATCTGGGAGACACTAATGCTCTTCCAAAATCAACGCGTACAAATTGCTAAGTTCATCAAATGACAGTTTTATGAAAAACAGGCAGACACAAATATTCTCAAAGAGGTAGGAGAGGTTTTTTTTCTTGAAACAAATACGGATGGCACAAGGTCTGCACTCTGCATGTCTCAATGACAGTAGATATTCAATGTAACTTAAAGCTGTTGCAAAAATGTCATTAAAATCCAAATTTAACATCGCATCCCTCCCTGCAACATCTGGTGCTGCTGAACAACACGCTTATCGTCTATCGAGCATACTATCAGATTCAAAAATGGATCCTGCAACTGCAAAAAGGCTTGCAAAAGTAATTGCAGCTGATTTAAAGCATCACTTGTTGCACAGAAATGTGTGGGAGCTGTGGCGGATCATGCAGTAATGAAACTTTGGTTGAAGTCAAGAAAAATGAAGAACTTGTCCTGGAAGTTTAGGAAATCGGAAATGGTCAACATCAATTTATTTTTTAATGTGAATAATCTGAAAATATTTTTTATTTCATACTATCTAGTAATCGCCGCTTTCCCAGACTGATTTGAGTCTGGTAAATCGTATTTTACCAGACTGAAAATTTTTACCAGACTGGAAATTTTGCATAGCAACCGCAACTGACATCCATCTAAACGTATGCATTGATATTTGTCAAACTACTGTCAGATCAAACAAATCAAGTGATCGACTTTTGCTTTTATTTTAATATGTACCTACAACATTCTAATCAAAATGGTATTTTAATAGAAATAGAGCAGTATGAAATAAAATGTTTTACATTATTTGTATGTTAAATCAGTTAACGTTACTCGTTTCGAAATTCCTGCCTCAGCTACGCTTCGGCAGTAAACATCTCACTCGTTAACGTAAACCTTGATTTACCATACTCATATGTAAATAACTATTACTTCAAATTAGATACCGCAATTAGTTTGTTTTAAAATAACATTAAAAAAATATATGCATTTTTAAACAATAGTTATTTACATAAAAGTCAGGAAAATACGTTTTTTAGCTGTACCTATACAAGGATTTATTAATATTTGACACAAATTAAACAAGTTAAAAAGTAATCGTAAACGATTTACATAAAGCGCATTTCCACTTGCATTCATTTCCCATTTGTAAGATGCAACTTCTGTTAAAATCGTAAAAATCCGGCCACAAATATGAAAGATAGCGTTGCACATGGGCAATCCATTGTTGACGTGCTACTTCAATTTCAGTTTATGAGAAGAATTTCATTTCAATGCTTTTCTAAATAAGAAAGTTGGAACTGCGCATGCGCAAACCTAAATTTTAAAACTAATGTTAGATTTTCCTTTGTTCCAAGCGCCTAAGTATCAAATTTCACTTAAATAGTTCCATAGATAAAAAAGTTGGCACGGCGCATGCGCAAAATAAAATTTTGAAACTGGCGCTAGATTTTCCTTTATTCCAAGTGCCTATGTATCACATTTCATTTAAATTCTTCCATAATTAAAAAAGTTGGCACTGCGCATGCGCAAAACCAAATTTTGAAATTGGCGTTTGATTTTCCTTTATTCGAAGTACTTATGTATCAAATTTCGTTTAAATTCTTCCATAAATAAAAAAGTTGGCACTGCGCATGCGCAAAACCAAATTTTGAAATTGGCGTTTAATTTTCCTTTATCCCAAGTGCCTATGTATCAAATTTCGTTTAAATTCTTCCATAAATAAAAAAGTTGGCACTGCGCATGCGCAAAACCAAATTTTGAAATTGGCGTTTCATTTTCCTTTATCCCAAGTGCCTATGTATCAAATTTCGTTTAAATTCTTCCATAAATAAAAAAGTTGGCACTGCGCATGCGCAAAACCAAATTTTTGAAATTGGCGTTTGATTTTCCTTTATTCGAAGTGCTTATGTATCAAATTTCGTTTAAATTCTTCCATAAATAAAAAAGTTGGCACTGCGCATGCGCAAAACCAAATTTTGAAATTGGCGTTTGATTTTCCTTTATTCCAAGTGCCTATGTATCAAATTTCATTCAAATACTTTTATAAGTAAAAAAGTTTGCAATTCGGTTTATAAATGGTCGAGATGCGAAAAGGGCACTGTGAATTTTGAATCGATTCGATTCAACTTTTGGCATTGCGTATTATATGGCTAAATCTATGCCCATATTGAATTTCATGCAATTCAGTTCATAACTAACGGAGATGTAAAGCGATCGAACATTTCTAAACAAAGTTATCGTTCACACGGACAGATAGATGGACAGACAGACAAAGGAACAGACGGAGAGACCAACCGGCAGGCGACAGATAGCAATGCAAAATTATAAAACGATCTCTAGGATCGTTAATAAACGGCAAAAGTGTAAAATTATGGAACATGTAAAAAACGGTTTTTGGTTTTTTTTTACAATAACTTTTTTTGTAAGCGGTACAGACAAAATTCCTTCCTTGGTACAAGACTCGACACCATAACGAACCAAATAGCGAAAAAAGTAGAACAATAGCTCTTAAGATAAAAAACTAGTAGCGTCGCAAAGTTAGCGGACGGACGGACAAAGTGGTCACAATAGCGCATTTTTTTTTATTTTTGTGGAAATGCGCTAAAAAGGGTGGAATTTAGGTTTCACTGAGACTCGTTGGGTTTTGTTTAGAGAAAATGCAACAGTGCACCTTAAAGTTAAAAAAAACACTTACTATACATTACTAGCATTGCAACGCCGCGCCGCCGGGCCCACCTCGACGGAACCCGCCACGACTGGGTACGCATTCTGCATTACACCGGCTGAATCTCGCAGGCTCTTCAACAAAGTAAGTACTATTTCATATCATTTTAAAGGTAATAATGGGAGCTACAACTTTTGTAGGTAACATTTTTTGATAAAATGTCGGCGTGAAAATTTCTGCGACAAAAAGTAAAATTACGTGCCGAAAAATATACCACTTTTTACCTTTTCATACGAATTACAAACAAACGGTAAAAGTTACGACGAAAGTCAACTGAAACTTATTTGTAGACAATGTTATATAGCAAAGAGAATAAAACAAATTGCAATCCGATATGTTGTTTAGTAATCGAGAGAGACGCGATTTACGAAAACCCTACACTTTTCATGTTTAGGGGGGCACAGGGGGGAAGCAAGGGAGGTAGGGGCGGGGACTTTTGGCTAAACACTTGTCTAAATGGTAGTAATCGATGGGGAAAAAAATTAGCTTCATACTATTTTTTTCCTTCAACTGGTGGTTTACGACACAGGTTGACTGGACTAATTCTAATGAAAGGTCTTACCGACTATATTTATTGTATCATGTTACCGACATGAATTGGTTTGTAGGTACAAACTAGAACTTTCCTGCGCAATTCCTTTTCTATTCTAACTATAAAGGTCTCAACAAAACAACCTGGTTTCTACCAACTATTTCGCCCTTCTTTCTGACTCATTATCACAACAGGGGGTTAGGGGGGGGCTGGTTTTATCCTTTTCCTCCCCTTATCGTGATCGGATATAAATAATTCTCAAGAACAGATTGTCAGAGGAGGTACTCACAAAAGGCGAATGGGGCGCCTGCAAGAAATAAATCTACTGGTGATGTCGAAATGTTAAGAGCGGATATCTCGAAAACAGTTCAGAGGGAAGTACATATAACCGCCGCCGCCGCAGGGTGCACCCGCGGCGGCGGCGGTTATATGTACCCCAAGATATTGATGGTACTGCTGGTAGGTATTTTAATATTTGTACTGCTGACTGCAGCCAATTCGCCGCCCACTGGTCCGCTTCAAATTATGTTGTGTATTATCCAGCTGACTGCTGGTCAGATGGGTGGTACCAATTTATCCAGAATTAATAGATCTACGGAGAACAGCATAATCAAAAATAAGTTTGATCTACAGAGCTTGACATGGCAGAATGACATGATACACTATTGGCGTTTTATAGATTAATATTACAAGTGGGAAATCGCCACTAGATTTGACACCTATATAGTACATACATAATACCTACACCTCTCTTATAAGATAATAGCTAAAATAAGGATGTTATTACACATGACAGAGACTTTGTATAAAAACTAAACTAACTACGGCTACTTACTTGTATATTATTAACTCTGAACATTCGTTCTCGGTCGCCCACGTATGAATTATAAAAATGGCGAGAATGAAGTGAAAGTTATTTTCCAAATTTAATACCTGGCGCGCTCAGATAACAGACACACGATAACAGGGAAACAAACAAGGAAAGAGACATACAGGCTGGACCTTAACTATGCAAGACATGGCCATCAACAATTTCAAATAAATTTTCAATTATTAAGTGACCACATAACAGAACGTCTGGACGAGACACTGAGACACATCTATCTAGTAAAATTATAACACCTCCGAAAACCATATCCAAATTATTTTCTTAAATTATCGATCTCGCAAGTAATCTAACACAAAATAGACTAGAGCCTGCACATCTACAATACATCAGAAAGCTTTTAGTGAAAATTTGAAGTATGTAATTGAAGTATGAATTGTAATTGCTGAGATCTCAGTCGGTCAGCCAACCAGCCATAACGAATACAATAGCGTATTTTTTTCCAAAAATGCGCTACAAAATAGTAGATATGAAAAACACGTGTTACAATGCTTTATTGTAATATTGCCTTTCAATATACTGATTTATGCATTTTGTTCACTACAAAATTGGTGAATAAGTAACAATCATACAAATTCAAACTTTCCTTTTTTTATACAGTTTGTGATGACTGATGACGAATACGTATAGGTACTTCCGAAAACGCTCATTTGATGTAAGTACTTGCATAAAAGTGAGACCATCAAGAGTTTTATTCAGGTAGGGAGATGGAGAAAAAAGTTTCTCATGATACTAAAACCAAGAGAAATGCTGTCTCTATATTAACTGATCAAAATCAAAATTTGATTCAAAAGTTAAAATGGCAACTATGAATATGAAAGATGCGTAAGTTTACTTAGGGCTCTCAAAAAGATCACAATCGCAAACCCCTTTTCCTCGCCATAATTATCGCGATGCAAATCGGGAGGTCGACACAAAGCCACAGATGCAGTGATTCGGTTGCCAGTTTTTAATTTAATCCACAATTGCTCAATAACATGCGTAAGATCGATTATACGGGTATTGATAGAGGCTTTAACGTAAAATGGTAAGGTAATTACAAAACACGGGAAAATTTTAATCGCTGTGAAGGTAGGTACTTAATTTCTAATTAAATTATTTTTGTATATGCAAAGGATTTTGCCTACAGGACCGAGAAAATGGATTTGACTAATCATATGCAAATTAGCTTCAACTTAAAAGGGTATTATATTGGCAGCAGTTTGAGACGCTATAACATTTGTCTGGGGAACATTGATATACAAAGATTCTTCATTTGTATACCGGGTGTTTCTCAAAGAGGGTTTAATTAATCTTCAAATATTTAGGTTTTTAGTGTAGGATGGCTATGTTCAAACAGTCCATTGTTTAGTCGCCGAGGCTTGGAAAATCGATTTGACCGCCTTTTATAGTTTGTTTAATGATGTTTGCTATTCTAAGGCAATTTGTTCAAATAGAACAACGGTGGTTCGTTAGCATACTTACTCTGGGCGAGGTGAAGAATGTATTTTAAGCATAATTTCAAAACTCAGCTGGAAGATTCTTATTGTTTAACATTAAATTCAAAAGTAATAGCTTTAGTTCCTTCTAGCTGGGTCTACACATGAAAAATCATTACTGTGTAGTTTATCTCTAGTAGAGTTTTTCAAGCAACTCGACTTCATCTTGGCCTGCAAACTTACTCACACTCGCACTCATTTACTGGACAATTAACAACAATCCTCTGAATGTCAAAAAAAAGGTACAACGTTGCCATTGTGTACCCGCTAATGACTAGGTATAGCTTTTCTTTTCTGTCTGTCTGTTATTATTATACTTACAGATTCGGTTAAATGTTGCCATGCGATATTTAATAATTCGTTTCGTAGATAATTGGAAAAAGTGTAAATCGCCATTTTTTAAAAGTTCAAATATTTTAGTAAGAAAGAGAGCTATTGAAAACAGTTTTAAATAAAAGTTGCAAGATTCGATGGAATAAATTCAAAGGACGTAGAGTATATATTTTTTTAAATGGCGGTTTCCGTGATATTGACATCAACTTCCTTATTTTAAATGGACGCTATATTGGATTTTTACATCACTCGATAAACCAGTGATACTAAACACTTAGTATTTCATCAAATAACTATTCCAGATAAAACCACCCTATATAATTTAATATAAAGATTTTAACCGGAACAAATTATATACCTAATTTGTATAGAAAGTGTCATTCTAGCCAAATTAAATAATAGTTATTTATTATACAAGACGATAAAGGTTTCATCAAATAACTATTCCAGATAAAACCACCCTATATAATTTAATATAAAGATTTTAACCGGAACAAATTATATACCTAATTTGTATAGAAAGTGTCATTCTAGCCAAATTAAATAATAGTTATTTATTATACAAGACGATAAAGGTTTATTCAATTCTGAACATAATTTAGACGTCAAAATTAGACGGGTTCGGCCGTCGCGGTCGTTTCCATACAAATGGCATTGTCATATGCTCTGAACTTCATTTTATATTGTGCTCCGCGTCCCATTTGAAATAAGAATGACAGATTCATGTCATTAGAATACGCAATCATCAGTTTTACTGTGGTTTCACTTTATCTACCCTTATCACTTACGGTTAGAGAGCGACTTAGCCTACTCATTTAAACCTATTAAAATATAAATTTAACATCTGCCATGAATAAAAATAATGTGGCGTAATTGTAGGGCAAGTGCAAATTTATCATGTTAAAAGTTGTTGGTATCTTTTTATGCACAAAAATTATATTAAGTAAACGATAAACCGTGTAATCTGAAAAGCAATTGCGAAAGTTAGACTGATGTCGAAATTGCAAAAGGTTTCGGCATACAAACGGCGGTGCATTCTAAATTGATTATTGAACGAAATTTTTTTTAAACTGGACGATTATAACATGTTCATAAAACCCATCGCCAATACGTTAATAGTGAAAGAGTAAATGTAGCGTAAACGACACATTACTTTCGAAGCGGTTACCTTTGGGGTTTACTAGACCATTAAACCATCTATCGGTCATGCTGGTGGGAATGTTTTGGTGTTGTATTTTTATGGACGAACTTTGGCGATTGTAACTGGAGATCAGGTGTGCTTGGTCACGATTGAACACAGTTTAAATGACAATTTTACAATTAGTTTACCTACTCATAAATTAATACTCTTAAGTACAACCTCTCCAAATCATCATATTTGTAGGTAGATTGTTACATTAGAATCTCATATAATTTCAAGAGGTGAAGATTTTTGTGAATTTCATTTGGGGATCGCTTGCTGATTCCCTTTACCGTAAACGTTATCCATAATCAAATGGGTGGCGGGTAGGCATGCTTACAAGTAAATCCAGAGTGAACAGCTCTCGGGATTAAAATCGAGCATATATGGAACAAGAAGATTTTCGACCACGTAAACGGTTGATCGATGAAAAAATTATTACTATTGAGCATCAAAATTTAACAAAGGGTTGGAGTGCCTTGTACCGGGTGACCCAATAAGACTGTTCTTCGGCCATATCGCGGGAACCGTTCGTCATATGACTTAGGGGCAAAAAAATTAGTGGGTAAATCGGTTATGAAGAATCGCTGGAACATATTTTCAAGTTCTAAAAATGACCACCAGATCTTAAATGCAAAAACAATTGAACGCCCCACACCATCTTTTTTGAAATAACTGAGTTTTTGTTTTTACGAAAATGATAGATAAACTGGTTCTCTTTAAAAATGTGAAAAAAGAATGTTTAGTTTATTATGCGAAATTTAAAGAAAATACAATGTTAAAATTTAAGATAGCAGCTACGCCCTCTGTTGCTCATTTTTAAAACTTGAAAATATTTTCCAGCGATTCTTCATGACCGATTTACCCAATAATTTTTTTTGTCCCTAAGTCATATGGCGAACGGTTCTCGAGATATGGCCGAGGAACAGTCTTATCGGGTCACCCGGTACAATCAGGTTATCATTTTTTTAATTAACGAAAGTTTCGCCCAAAATATCCCGACGGCTAGCTCAACTTTGTACTTTGAAACAATTTCGTTACGAAAATGGAGCTAGTTCCTCTAAACCTGGAAATGTAAAATAGTCGCTTCCGCCTTACATCAGTTGTATGACAAATAAAGATAAAATATCAAAATATTTTTGTAGGTATACTAAAATTTAAAATCAATCAAAATCTGCAGCCCTCCAAAAATGAATCCTAACTTAATTTCAAAACCCAGTGCTAAAATTGAACGAACTATTGGAAGTTTTCTATTTACTCATTGGATACACGAACAGTGAAACAATACGTAAGCTAATATCTCCTTTTTTACAAACAAATCACAGTCTTAAAAAGTATATTCTTCAAATCAGTTAGAAGATTTTCGATACTTAGTATTGAATTGAAGTGGAAAAACCAATTTGTACCTTCTTCTAAGTGAGTTCATCCATGGAAATTATATACAGTGGAATTATCCTTTTAAAATTCTCAAACCGGTTACAAAAATGAATCGAACCTTATTTATATAGCAACTAAAATTACTAGTTGTGTCGTCCAGCCTTGGATTACTGGATCACCCCTTAATAGGGGTCGAGCGTCAAACCTTTTCTTGGAGAAACTTTACGCTTTAGCGACCCCTCGTCTCTTTTCCAACATTTTCCCTAATCAGAGCCGCCTAGGAAACCCGAAACGGAACCGAAATTCCGTCAACGGAACCAACGCAAATTTGACAACTCACGTCTGTCTTATTGTAGAAATTTGCTATCTAACCCAAACTATCTAAACACGTATCGTTGCCGCCATTAATCCTACTCGACATTACCATTCGCATGAAGCGGTACACATGAAAATTTACACGGTCGTTTTCAATTCAAACACGAGTATATATAAAAATTGAAAAATATTAAATGCATTATCGGGCACCCGTTACAATGCATATCTCTGTGTGGGTTGTATCTACAGGGTGAAAAACGACTTTGACAATTATTATTTTTTGCATGATCTACCGAAAACGACTATTCATGTCTGATGGCAATTGTTTGAAATGAAATATTGTTTTCGGTGGAACTTTTCTCGTTCCTGACCACTCTAACAGTTTTCTTTTGTTTCAGTAAATTCTTCATCAGTGTCCACCTACAGTCCGACGAGCACACCTCAGCCGCAAATATCTGAATCCTCAGCAGATGAATCTCGAACAACCAGTAGTAGACAGTCTCCTCAACCCTCTTCCACCAGTGCAAACGCGCAAGGAAAACCTCCGTACTCGTATGTAGCGCTAATCACGATGGCAATTCAAAACTCAAATGCGAAACGGGCCACCCTATCAGAAATATATACGTACATCACTGCAAAGTTTCCTTATTTCGAACGCAATAAAAAAGGCTGGCAAAATTCCATCCGTCACAATTTGTCCTTAAACGAATGCTTCGTTAAAGTTCCGCGTGAAGGTGGAGGCGAACGTAAAGGGAACTACTGGACGTTGGATCCCCAATGCGAAGATATGTTCGAAAATGGAAATTATCGCCGACGTAGACGAATGAAACGCCCCTACAGATCCGCTCAACCGTACGCAAAGGCGTTCTTTGGCGATCCTTTGGGTCAGCACGGGTTGCCACTGGCGCGTAATATATTCACACCACCAACTTATCCTCCGCCGTACTCGCGGTACGATACCGCATCGTGGCTCGGACAGTCTCAGATAGCCTACTCAAGCTGTTCCACTCCGTCGTACACGCAGCAAGGATACCCTTCCCCCGCATTTAGTGCTTGTGGTGTTCGCCAAGACAGTTCCCGTTATCCGTCTTACTGGCCGCCCGATAGTGAGTACTCTGGTCCCCACACCTCGCCTCCCGCTGATCCCCAGCTACTTTTACAGTGGTGACAATCAAAGAAGAACCAACTAGTCCTACATTTCCCAAGTGTTTCATGTGAGTCGCTATCTTCCTGCTCCCAAACACCTTCACGCAGGACTATGCATTCAACTGCGACCTGGCAGTGATACACGAAGAACTTTTTTATATATGTTGATTAATGTCGTCCGTCCAAGTTTTCTTAACTGTTCTTTGTTTATCCTTATAATTCATTCTCTACGCGAACGCACTGATGTCGCTAGATAACACTATTTTAATGTATATTACTTTCGTTATCATTTACACTATTACTTTTAATTGTTTCTGTTAGAAGAAGAATTTTAAAGACACCTGTAGATACGCTTTCATCAGTATTTGATTAGAAATATAATTACATGTTACCTGTCCTTAGATTTGTATTTTTAACTTCTTTCATTAAAGCATGTACCTAAAAACTGTTTTTATTTTATTTCGCTTACAATAACCCCATGCCTTTTTCCTGTAGTTTTGGCTGTAGTAGATGTACTAAACGTGTACTTTTAAATCGTTGTTTATTTCAGGGAGCAAGACGAGTAAGTAGGTAGTAAGTTTTCGCCCGATCAGTCATTTTGATCCATTCACCATACAGTCGTTTGGAACAAAGATGATCTTTATGTAACTTGTTTGTGAACCAAGTTCCCAATATGTTACCTAAATTATTTCTTCGTTCTTGCTCGTGTTTTGGTATATGATAGACAATAAAGAACTCGTTTGAAATTGTTTACCAAACAAAACGAGTGACGTAAAGGTGATCTTTGGTGCAAATGACTTTAGTTGTTTTTAGGTGGATCGATAAAACTGCGTCTCTAATTCACTGTGTTCACTTACGAATGCAAAAAAAAAAATTCAAAAATTTGACCTAATGAGAAATAGAAGCATTACGAACGTTAGGGACGGTCACTTGGTCTGCGACAAAATTGGAGTCTCCTGTTCATTCCGTCTTTTTCTTAAAAACATTGTGGATAGGTGATTTGATTAGCATAAGGCATACTAACATAGTTTTTGTCCTTTTCTCATTCATGTAATCATACTCACCTAAAATGTTGGACAACAATAAGGTAAACAAGATGATGAGTCCAGTTTTTGTTACGTAAATTTTAGAGTGTAAAGTTAGCAAATCTAAACTATTTATAATAAATTATTGATACAGAATATCTACATGACAGTGAATATTATTTTTAGTGGACCACTGCCTTTTAGCCAATTTTAGCCAAACAATTTTCATGTTTAATTCAAAGGAACTAGGTATCCACGCCGAAAATCGACATCACCTTATTCTATTTTTTGGCAGGTTAGGTTAGAATCTTGTATGTTTGTTTAAGGCAGTGGGCATATGCAGGGATCAGGGCCGGACCGAAAAAATAGACTAAAAACGTACCGAAATTGTTTATTTTGTCAGAACCGAAACCGTAATTCTTTTTGATACGGTTGTGTAAGTATTACAAGGAAATAATAAAAGCTATAACTTCAAAAAAATTAGTTTCTGATGTAAATATGAAACGAAACCGTTATTTCTAATGAGTCTGGGCCCCTCCCCTGTTTGGAACCGAAAAAAGCTGTTATGAGCCGAACAAAATTTGGAACCGAAACCGCTATTATTTTGTAAAACCCTAACCGGAACCGTTACAAATATTTTTGGTTACACTACTAGTAGGGGAGCTAGCACGAAATCCACTGAACGAGAATGATCAAAATTTTAACCGATGGGGTTCCATTTTGCCCTATCAGAGTAT